TGATGATGGTGATGATGATAGTGAATGATGGTAATGATGATGATGGTGAGCGCGATGATGATGCTGATGCTGATGATGATTTAAGCTATTTAAGCTATTATATGTTATCAAATTAATGATTCATTCATCTATTTTCAACCATATTGAATTCTATTCTATAAAATATTTGAGATATAACGCGCGCGCTGATTGCCTGGCTACCGTACGCGTGTTTATATCAGAGGACAGAGACACGCTCGTGCGAAATCATTCAAAAAGATTCTATAAAAGCGATATAAAACGTCCGCTTGTGTCTATATACTGTGATACACACACTCTGGGAACAGTAGAGCAAGAGAGAAGTCAAAGAAACACTCGGGTACGCCTTGCGTTTCTCTGCGACTTCTCTCTTGCTCTACAGCTCCCATCGTGTTTATATCACAGTATATAGACACGCGCGCCGTTTTATATTCCTAATACCATTTACAGTATAAGCAATTTATATATTTTTCAATTAAATAGTAGTCTTAATTTCTAAACTGTTACTGAAAAGCCTTTGTAAAGGAACTTCAATAAAAGTATGCATGTATGATGATGATGGTGATGTTAATGATGATGATAATAATAAAAAAAGCATAAGGCGACGTTTATAATTAAAATAAATTATTTAAAAATATACGAAAAAATGTCTATAGAGGCAAGGTCCCAAAGGTGATGGGTGTCCCTGTATTCACAGTAAAATTTTTAAAATTTTTACACAGACACCTGGCAAGGTCCTAAAGGTGCCTTCTTAATTGCCCTATTTCACTATGACGTCACTGCTTGTTTATGTGGGGGATAGAATCGCCAAATCCAATGGTAAATTCAACAAAATTTGCTCCTACCGAAACAGTTTAATCTAAAATGGCCTGGTTTTCAGATATACTATGTGTTAATATGTATTCAAAAATATCTGAGCGTTTGCTGGTTATTCTACTTGTCTTCGTGGATTAATACGGGTTTTAGAACATTTTTCGGTGAATTTGTGTTGATTTGACCCCCTCCGACGACCATGATCCTTTGCGTTTAAACAATAGATTGTGTTGATGTGACGTCAAAGTGAAATAGGGCAAATGAGGGGTTTCCACAAGGCGTTTCCATAACATTGTCGGAAAACACAAAGCTATGAGGGCACGTGCCTATTGAATGTCATGGAAACGCCTTGATTGACGTCCACCAAAAGCTTCTTCGTCGCAAAAGAAACAATCGCTCGAGCAGCGCATCTGATTGAGAATGGCTGTAAGCGGACACCAGGCAAGTTCCCAAAGTTATCCGTTTAATGTACCAGGGGACATTTGTGACAGATCTTCACTAAAAACGCCATAGCGCACTAACTATTCATCTAATGCCTATAAAAGTATATATTTTCTTGATGTTCAATAAGCACAGATTTCAACCATGACCATTACTTATTGATCAATTTAATCAGTTTTTCTAACAGTGCGAATTTCATAATTTTCAACCGCACCTTTTAGTGAACATCGGTCGCGAAGATCCCCTGACACCTTAATTTAGAGGTACACCCCTGTTTTCTAGCATCATGTTCTTACCCGCGGACATCAGCTACTAAATTTGAGAATGCTTTTTCCCATGTGTACATCTTGATGACCCGCATTCCTGCTATGACTTCACTCATGATCTTGAAGCGCAGGTCAGTCATAGTCGCTGTCTTTTGCCTTGGGAAAAGAAAACAAGTTAGAGGAGAAAGTGTGCAAAAATTACAGTCTATAAAGTGAAGTGTTATTATTTGTTGGACAGCAACTGTATTATTGTTGATATATAATGAGGATGTCTGCTTGCAGTGTGGGGATGATGATGATGATGATGATGATGATGATAATGGTGGTGATGACAGATGTTGCTTACAATGATGATGATAATGATTATGGTAATAATGATGATAGTGATGCGATGGTAGAATATCGTAGATGATAATGATGATAATGGTGATGATGCTTATGGCAATAATGAAGATGGCGATGATGATAGTAATGTTGATGGTGATGACAGAGGTGGCGGCAATAATAAGCAGTAATGATGCAGCATGTTAATAATATGAATGTGATAGTGCTAAATGATGATAGTAATAACGTTGATGATGTTGGTGATGATGATGATGATGATGATGACGACTGATTGCAAATATGCAGGGGCAAATCTAGGTGGGAGGGGATTGTGGGTGTGGCAACCCTCCTACTTAAAATTTACACTTCTTCTTTATAGTTTTATACAGGTGGATGCCCCTCATATGCAGAACCCCCTCTAAGAAAATCTTTAATTTGCACCTGATATGACGACGTTGATGGTAATAATGATGATATTGAAGATGGTGGTAATGATGATGAATGTGGCAATAACAGAAAAGATGATGACTGATGATGAATGATCTTCGCATTGATGGTAAAAATGACAATAACGAAGATGTTGTTGATTTCCTCACCTCAAAAGAGCAAATTGCTTTCCCATCCAGCCCTGTAAAGGGGCCAGCAACAGCAGAGCCAGGATACCAGTGAAAGACCATGGTCCCATCTCAAGCCAAGACAAGACGGCTGCAACAATGAGGAGCAGTGGAGCAAGCCACGTTTGATGAAGAAATATAGTTGTCTGTAAAACAGAATTACACTGATGTGATGATTTGAAACAAGTAATACGAAAGATTTGCCCCTGCAACACCTTTGACGAAAGAGGATGCAAGACAAAAGTAGCATGAAACAGAATTAGGAAGCACAGGCTGCGTGCACTGGTAATGCGATGCCTCTCACCAATGCAACCCAGGTTCAAGTCCTGTCGGGCTTGGTGATGTTGTGTACATGTATGTGAGAAGAGTACTATGAAAGATTTGCCCCTGCAACACCTTTGACGAAAGAGGATGCAAGACAAAAGTAGCATGAAACAGAATTAGCACAGGCTGTGTGCAGTGCTAATGCGCTGCCTCTCACCAATGCAACCCAGGTTCAAGTCCTGTTGGGCTTGGTGACGTTGTACATGTATGTGAGAAGAGTTGTTTGTTGGTTCCCTCCTGTACTTCGAGGGTTCTTCTTTTGGATCTCCAGTTCCCCTCCCTCCTTAAAAATGAACTTCTAAAGGTGTAGGTCCAAAAATTACATTCCATCCACCCCCCCTCCCTCCCTCTCCTCCTTAGGCTTAAAACCTGACATAAGAGCATCCTTACTCCCTCCCTCACGGGATATTTACATTCGGTCATTCTCGAATGGGTTTAATTTCCAAAACTCAAGACGGTCCTTACTACTCTCCCAAGGGATGTATTCATCCCCCCATCCCTCAGCCCCACGGGACGCATGTAGTAATACAATCCTTACTTACAAGTAAACTAAATCGGTGTAGTTGATGAAACTCCCGTCAGGCACTTCGGTTATACCTTGCGATGATAGATCTCTGCAGAAAGAAAAACATACCTTACAACACTTTTCTTTACAAAGAATATTACTAGGAAACTCAAACAATGATGCATTTATACTATTTGGTTGTCTTTTTCTAATTAGCCCTTATCGTTATTAAGACAACTTGTACCGTTAAATATCGTAACTTTTCATTATTGTAAACTTGCAGTATACATTTATTTCAATAAAGTTATATAATAGTCACCAGAAAAGCTACAAAGCTGAGACTGACAAGGATTATCGGTAGATACATTTTACATGTTTCAACCGCTTGATAACTTTTGATGGACTTGAGATCTTCTACCAGTTACAAGTTCACCTCCTCTGAGCATCCTCAACTGCTGCAGTTTGTGTCAAAAGCTTTACTTGTTGGATATAAAATATTTCCCACAATTCTCAGCGATCANCCCCCCCCACCTTCAGAAATTTTCTTCCCTACAAACACTAATTATTTTTCCTACGTGTGGCATGGATAATTTCTGAAACTGCACAATTCCAATTCCATCTTAGTGCTTCCACTAAGTTTTGAGTCTAGGCTCTCTGTTGTGATTGTCCCATGCTGTGCTACAACAGCTAAAGCTTATAGTTATTTTCGTAATAGATAAACTTGGCTATGTAGCGTGAGCACTGTAGATTTTTACAAACATAACTTAATCCCATCTAAGGATCGTTTTTATTGTAATGTATGTAACTTTTCTAATTCACATTGACAAGAATCCCAAGTAATAAATCTTTTTATGACAAATTATTACCCTTTCCAGTATTTGCACGTCACTTGTCATCAAATTTACTATATGTCCAGTGGTGGTCTTAGACATTGAGTTTTGACTCAACCTAATAGCCTATAGGATAACAAAATAATATATAGTGTTAGATTGTACCCTAGACTTGCCCCAAGTCAACCTCCCTTGTCTCCTGCAAGAGTTTTTTATTCAAGCGAATACACAGAAGGCAGCTGATTTTGCGACAGTCTAATAGTACCCACGCTCTGATTGGTATAGAACTGTGAGCTGAGAACTTTAGCCAATGGGGCATGGTGTTGATGCCCTTCAGGCATATAGTATGCAGCCTGCTTTACAAATAAGGGTACCGAAATGGCATTGAAAACTACAACATATTTTAGTCTTCAATAATGATTACTTTTTGGACTATTAAAAGATGACAAGACATTGATATTCAACCAATCATTATTTTTTTGGTATTACAAAACCATATCCAGGAATAGGTTTCTTTCTAATAACAAAACATGCAACCAGGGTTCGACTCGCAGACTTTTCTCCCTACACAAAAACCAACTTCTAAATTGTGACCAATCGTGGCCCCCAACTTGTTTTTTAATGCCGTTTAATTCTTTCCCGCCAATTAGTGTTTCCATTAATGTCCAGCAAAGGGACTGTGGGAAAATAGGGAAAATAAATAATTGATGGACGTCAATCAAAAAGGTATTTTAAATATGTCTAAGGATTCTGACTCCACTTTTCAAGCTATCGGTATTGACTTATCTGATCTTGAATAAACTCAAATCATAGTCGAAGCTATAGCTTTGCAGTCAAGCGTTTGAGATTCGGAGCCGGAATCCTGTGACATTTTTGAGAAAATATACCCAGAGCGAGAAATTCACAGCGACAAGAAGCATTAGATAAGGTCAATGTTTTTTGCACGTTTGCATGTGTTCAGTATTCACGCCAGCCCTGGTGTAGAAACCAATAGAAACGTTAGAAACCCTTTTGATTGACATCCACCCAAACTCAAAATTCTTCATTTGTAATGAAGGTCTAGTTGATTGCGTGTGACTGGGAATTGCAGTAAAGTCTATAAGGGTTGAACTAGTACCCCAAATGAATTTGAACACTACAAACAAACTCTCATTTGATTACCAGTCATACAGTTATAATGAACTGCCTACCTTCCTGTAGACCAAAGTTGCTAAGGCATTTTTTAGCTGCATTCCGTACCGAGTTGCTATGAAAAACAAGGGGTGGTGAATTACGGCAAGAGTGTATGAGAAGCAGATAATAACGCCACCGTATAAAGCTGCTTGGAGTCTTGTGGTAGTCGTTCCTGGTACAAAATAACTTATAAATCTGCCTATGAAATATGGCATGCCAATACGCATAAATTCCTATGATAGAGAAAGAAAAAAGACATTAAAAACAATGATGATGACTGATAGTGATGGTGATAATGGTGATGATGATGGTGGTGGTGGAGGTTGTGGTGGTGGTGACGTTGATGATGATGATGATGGTGGTTGTCATGGCGATGATGATGATGGTGATAATAGTGATGATGATGATGGTGATGATGATGATGATGATTATGGTGGTGCTGGTTGTGATTTATTCGATGATGGTGATGATGGTGCTGTGCTGCTGATGATGGTCATTCCAGACTAACCATAATGATTATAGTGATAGATGGGTGATTATGGTGTTAATGATGATGATGAAGACGGTTGTGGTGATTATGAAGATGATGAAAATAATAATAATAATAATAATAATAATAATAAATATTCATATAGCGCCTATCCAAATCTGCTCTAGGCGCTTTAAACAAAAAGAAAAACCACAAACTGTGGTAGGCTGTGAGCTTTGCTTGGCGCCTGTGGCTGCCGCTACACAACCCATACCACAGGAAAAGGAAAAATAAATAAATAAATGATACGAAAATAAAATAAATAAACACACACGCATGACGAAACTACGAATAAAGGTCAGACTGTTGTATCGGGTAACAATCCCCTACAACAGGATCTTTTACGTCCACTTTATCGGGGGTCAAGTGTGATAATAACTATGATAGTGATGCTAATCAATAACAATAAATATCTCTAGCTAATAAAAATGTTTAGTTCGATCCTCAGACTGAGTCAACCAATGATATCAATTACAAGAATACATATCTATTGCTGATTAAAAAACTCTCAAGTAGTTAGCCGAGTATTTCACCAGAGTACAAAGTATGCCACTTAAATAGTACACTTACTTAAATAATAGTATTAATTCATGCTCATTCTATTGTTTAAATAAGTAATTATTTAGTGCTAAATAGTGCAAAATCATCTTAAGTGTTCAAATTCTCTATTTTCGCATGTCGTACCTCCAACATATTAAGTAACCCAACCATCATAAAGTCCCTTCCAAGGTACATTGCAACTGCTCGGCTTAGTTTAGGTCTCCTTCCTGCAGTTTTGGCTCTTTCTTGTTCTTTGTTCCATTGTCTGAAAGTATTCAAGAGAAACAATATTGTCAGTAATAGACCTAATCAGCTCAGGTGTAATGTTTTCCTATTTCAGACTAATATCTACAAAGTTTTTCGCTGTTGTATCGGAGCATGGGACAATCACAACAGAGCTAGGCTCCGAACTAAGGGAAAGCCCAAAGATCAAATTAGAATTTAGGAGTTGATTTTTGAGGGAGAAAAATTGGAGAACCCGGAGAAAAACCCTCGAAGCACAGGAGAGAACCAACAAACAACTCTACTCACATACGACATCGAGATCGGCAGGACTCGAACTCGGGCCGTATTGGTGAGAGGTGGCGCATTAGCAGCACACGCCACCCGTGCTTCCCATGTAATTCCCTTGAGAATAAAATTCTTTGTTTGAGTTGTGTCCATATTCATGTGACTTCTCATGCGCAGCCATTAAACAAAGAAATGATACTCTAGGAATAAATACGTGGTCTGAAATGGGAAAACATTACGCCCGAGCCGAGGAGGTCTATTAACTTGGATAGTAAATGGTCATATTATGATGGATGGATTGAATGATGGAACTGACAGACACAGGATATAGAATTGTTTATTCTAACTGTAACAATGACACACACCTCAAAGAAACAATAATTGTTTCTTTGAGGTTTGTGTCATTGTTACAGTTCAGCGAACTTGATATGGTTTACTGAAATTTATGCAATTTGTTTGTGCAATTTCTTACAAAGCTTTTCATGGATATTGCTTGATTGCACGTTACATGTATGTCATCGTGGCCTCTCAGGGGAGTTTTGGTGTCACTTAACAAAATATTTCTCATTAGCATCCATTGTTAATGGCACCAGAATGGCCGATACATTTTTGTCTTTTGACTCTCTTGGGAATGCTTGCAGTCCATCAATATGGTATGCACCCTACCTTTCAAGTTTGTTTGCTATATGTTCTGTCTCATCTTCTGGTGGTACCTCATAAAAATCTTCTGATTTTAAAGGCTGCTTGTTTCCTTTCTTGAAGAGAGGATTCAACCACCTAAAAACGTGCACACAGTTAACATTTAGTGCTTATCAGTGCTAAATAATTTGTTATCTATTCTATAGATATAATATTTGCATTCAACAAAGAGAACATTCAAGAGAATAATGCTAGGTCAAGTGTTGAACATCTTCGTCAAACTGAGCCAAACCTACTTGAAACAGTGGATAACAAGGAAGTCTTATTTGATGTCATTAGGTTCGGTTCATGTTAAGTTCGACGTTTGATCTTAGTCTAACATAAAAAAAAGTTACAAAATAACAGCTGATTGAAGTGGAAACGTAAGCAAATATTTCCTTCATTTCAAAGCCGATCAAAATGCTATATGGTTCCTATTCAAAGAAATAAAGCGCCATTGCCCATTGAAAGGAGCAAAGAAGCTTAGAGTTCGCTCAGTAAAGTAAAAGTCAAATATTGAAGGTCACGAGTCTTACACGAGTTACATAACAAATTTACATGTGCTTTGATAGCTTGAGTAACGTTTATAAACCAGCAAAACAAAAAATTATTTGTTAAAGTGTAATAATCAAAGAGACAGTATACAAAAAAAAGATCTTATCTAAGTGTGTATCTCTATTACATAAGCTTACGACTACTAACTATAAAATACGTCTCACGGGTTAAGTGAAACCATCAAAATCTATGAACGCTTATATGTGATTAAAATAGATTACTTACTGGTATGTAATGTATTTAGAAATGCAAGATGCTTTTAGTAACGGGTTCTTGGGGAGTTCTTCTAGTTTTCTTGGCATGTTGTTGCATTGATTTAAAAGAAAGAAAATGGAGGTAGGAATAGGAAAAAGTCAGCGAATTTTGAGGATGAGCGATCCTTACGAGGCGTTCCGCGCGGTGATCGGTAGAGACTTGGACCAGACAAGATTACAAAGCATTTTAGGGGAGGAGAGGGTAGGGATATCTAATTCATTCTAGTTTAATTGTTCAATCTTTATTTTCATAACGATAGATTCCTCACTGAATCATCTTCATTCAAATAATGAAACTCTTTGCATGAGTAGCATAGTGGTTTACTTTATTTATTTATTTAAACAATATTCATACAAGCATGTCTCATATATTTCTAGCAGAGCTAGTTTAAATTAAGCTGCTGTTAAAACACATTTCTCGCCTCTCACTTCTGTTGTCCAGGTTTCAGCTCCACTGGCTCAGACAGATCACATGTGAGTTGAATTTGTTGACGTATTGTTCTCTACCTTGCCACAAGGGTTTTCGCCGTATTTGAACTTAACCAATGTTTCCTGGATCCACCCCAGACATATAAAGGGGAAAATTTGAAGTATACACCGATTTAAAACATACTGTAGTCAAAAAATAGAGTGCAAACAACATATCTGTGAAACATTACTAATACAAATTACACTATTTTATGCTAATTCTATTGTTTTCTATTGTTTAATTAGCACTGTTTTGAACAATTTAGTACTTATGTTTCACGTATTAATTGTTTGCACTATATTACTGGTTAATACTGAAAAACATAAGTTTGAAGGGGATTCTAGTATTGGTAGTAGATGGCACTCAGGTAAAATGCAAATGGATAATCTAAGAAAACAATCACTCCCAACATATGCTAATATTTATTTTATTTTAAGTTTCTTTTAATTATCATTTATTATAATTTATAAAAAAATAGTTTAAATACAGTACATTTTCATATCCTATTTTAAAGAGGAAATACTTAGCTACGAAATAGACCACTTTTACATTTGATATCAACATCACATCAACATGTACAATTCACTGTCAACAAAAACAGCTACTGAGTGTTTTGACAGGTGTCAATCACAGCATCAGCATTTTAGTTGTTGGATAACGTTAAAATATTTTGACGACAAGTTCATATCTATGGAACGTCATGGTAGCATCTTCATTCAATCCAAACTACTTTCTCACAACAAAGATTTTACGATTTTTATAAAATACTGCACTTTATACTCATACTTTCAAAACACCACTTTTTTTGCTGCAATATTTTTTTTTTTATATACACTCAATTGAAGAATCGTTGTGGGGTTCAAAAACATAGAGCATAAAAGCTGAGACAGAAATGGCAGTTGGGAAATGACATAATTATATTATAATTTATTCATTTGCGCCATCAATGCAGTCGGTTTAGAATGCCAAAAGCGTATTAAAGAACAATGAATGATGCCACGGCTCGCCAGTCACAGCATGCATCTAATTAACGTACTTCCCATGTGCCATTTCGGTCTCAGCTCCTATGTTCTATGTTTCTGAACCCGACAACGAATCTTCAATTGAGTGTATATGCATAGTTAGCTCACATAATAGACTTCTTGTTTATACTTCTACTGTGTGTATGGGACTACCTAACCTATGAAATACCTGCATTAGGTAATGGCAGATAGTTTTCGGACCAAGAGCATCAAGTAACAAGCCAAGGCTCCAGAGAACGGCAGTACTTTTATTATAATTGATTTATTCATGGTTCATGCAAGTGGCTATGGCTCTCCACTAATTATCATCTCAAGCAGCCTGGCTTCGAGCAATTTGTGAAGTCAATAAATGAAAATGCACCATGAATAAACTAATTACAGCTAAAAGTACAGGCTTTCTCTGGGGTCTTGGCTTGTTGCTTGAGGCTTTTGGTGCGGCGACGATTTCTGAAATAGGTGTATATTAGAGCTATACACTCTATTGTTTCAAAGAATTGTTGCATTTGGGTCAGTTTCCATGCATTTTATTGTATATATTTTTTGAACCAAATGCCTCCACTTGAAACAACCGTTTGCGGCCATTATCGAGTGTAACTCTAATATCTGCTAATTGTAAACTAATAGACATTTTTTAAAGAAAAGCTTTTCTTTGCTTTGGAAGTTCGAATATTATATGCCGTGATGGAATTGTGGATTTTCCCATTAATTCATTTTTTCCTTGAAAGAAGCCCAACAAGGAGAGCAGCACCGCCAACCACTATAGCACTTCCCACTATGCCGAGACCAAGCAAACCATCTGGGAAAAAAATACAAAAACAATAGTATGAAGTATTGTACCATGTGGAGTCAGTCACAAGTAATACACAATTGATTTGGTACACAGTAGGTTAACTAGATCTACATGGAGTAATGCTCATCTAGGCCCTTTCTAGATGGAATTAGAATTAAGGAAATAGAGAGAATAAGAGAAAATATCAAACGCCCTTGGCAGGAATCGAACCCACATCTTTGGTATTCCAGTCTGATGTGTTAACCACTACACTACAAGGACCAACCACGCTGGTAACGCAGCCGGAATATTAAATGTAGGGTACTCGTGAGGATTCCAGAGCGATATTTTTTCTCTATAGGTAAGTTGAATATAATATTTTGATGCAATTACACACCTTTTTGCATCTGGCTTTTAATCTTTTGATCCAAAGTCAAGGCTTGTCTATTGTTTGGTTCTATTTGTAATATTCTGCTTGTGTACTTTAAAGCTGTCTTGTATTCCTGTCATGTAGAAAAATTTCATATAGTGACATGCACAGTGAGCAATATAATGTTCAGCCGTAGGGCCCGTTTACAAGGAGACAACTTATTCCTGGTAGCAGGGACACCCTCCTACTTCAGCCAGCTATACTGAGCGTTTATATGGAAAGAAGTTGTCCTTGTAAACCCGGGACAACTTATCAGTTTCAATGGAGTTAAGTATAGCATGCTCAAACGAAAAAGTAGTCTTCATTAGGCGAGTTAAAGGGTTTGTATTGTGATTACTTACATTTAGTTTATAGTTCCCTACTGCTAGGTAGTACAGATAGTCTCTTTGATCTGTCCCGCTGTGGCATAACCCTATTAGAAAAATACATTATTTTATATCATATCTACTGCGGTTTTCGATATTCTGTCAACTCTTACATTTAAATGGCTTGTTGTGATTGGTTTTTCACTGCCACCAGTCAAGAACATAAAAGGTACCTACTGATTATTTTTGATTGACGGCCGCAAAAAATCAAATTTCAGCATGCAGCTCACAACTATAGCACTACTGGGGGGGGAGGGGGGGTTGGGTTGGTATGGCATCAGTCTTACCACTTACTTCATCTTGCATGAGAAGATATTGAATGTACTGAAAAAGTTAAATTAAATGGAGACAGTTTTTGTCCGACCACTTTTTAGGTTGTCCAAGGTTAGGTAAGGATTGGTGATCGTCAGGTAGCCGATGGGAGGAATAAAACGTCTGATATGTTCAGTTATATTCTGAACACATTTTTCTAAACTACTAACAGCTTTAAATCATTGTACTGTAGTTTATGAACAGCAAATGCACAAAAATTATATATTTTTAGAAAAGGCAAGCTTTATTTGACGTACACCAGGAGTAGTCAATCGTTAAAAATCAATATCGATAAAAATCGATAGAAATCAGCTGATTTGTATCGATTTTTATAGGAAATCGTTTAAAATCGATAAAAAATATTGGTGTGAGTTCGATTTTTATCGATTTAATCGATTTTTATCGATCAAGATTTGACCGCTTTAGTTCGATCCAATAATGAGTACAATCATATAATCAGCTTTATTTCACGGAAAGTATTCGAAAATATCGATGATAGTGCAATAGATTTTATAACTATTAATTCACAAGTAATAACATGTAGATCAGGCAGCTAATTATCCAAGTACTTTTGCTGTCTGTTCACTGTTGACTATAACAAACTCCTAGTTTGTGTCAAGCTATGGTTACGAAAGAGTAATTGCCGGTGATGTAAATCCGTAGCCACACGACCCTCGTACGATCATCGATAGAAATTGTTCAAGGCATAAATCGAAAAAAATCGATACATGTATGTATATAATCAATCAATCGATAAAAATCGATACAAAAATTTAGTGTGAGTTCGATTTTTAACGATTGATCGATACAATCGATATCAATCAAATCAGCGGTATCGATTGTTATCGATTTATCGATTGGCAAAATCGATATCGATTTTTAACGATTGACTACTCCGGGCGTACAGTACAGGTGATAGACACCTACAAAACACACCCATAAACATCGAAAGACAATTCAATTCAACTTCCTTTACCTCGTAGAAGGTCTAAACCTTTTAAAATGTCAGATTTAGCTGGGCTGTGAACGAGACAGTAAGCATATCGAAACTGAGTGTTTGAATCGACGTTGCCAGTAGAAAACTCTTCGACGTAGTTACATTGAGCGTTCTGAAAATTAAAACAATATAACGAAATAAGAGCTCAGTGAGTTAGAAAAACATCTGGAGAGATTGATATTGAAAAAAAAATATAAGGAATAATATATTTTTAAATATTTTTAACGACCTTTAAATCTTCGTCGGAAACTACGACTTCTTCCATTTTTGCTGATTCAATCAGAGAGCGCCCGCAAGTAGCATTATCAGCGGATAACACCCGACAACTTACCGACATCTTACGAATATTTTCCGACAATATTCTGAATATTTCTCTCACGAAACATCATTTATACATTCTAAAATCTCAAAATTTAAGCAAAAAAACATATTTCATTAAATCATATCTAAAATGTTTTGAATTTTCTTGGTTTCGTTAGCAAAGAAGAATAAGAGGAAACTTCCTATGTTTCCGAAAACTTCTCGATGATAAGCCGAGTATGATACGAACCTAAAAAAGAAAATAAAACTCGTAAAAATATTTTAAATCTATTCTATTTTGTAACTACATAGGCGATATTAAGTTGATTTTATATTTTTGTGGAGAAAAATGTAAAACGATACAGAGAAAGCAGATTTTTTGAATACTGCCTCGACCCAGTCTCCTATTTCAATGCGACGAAGGTTTCGCGCGCGTTCGATCAGACAAAATATTGTACACAAAAAACAAAAGAAAGCTTGTACTGTCTTGAGCTATGGAGTTCTCAGATAAGACCAGCCTTCCGAATCCTATGAGAAATGCAAACTGTTGCTCCAGACTCACTTTTTGGTAAGTAAATGTCTTGGAATGTTTGATCAGAACTCGAGTTAAAATTTCCAAAAAAAGCTCAATACTGTTTAATCAATAACCGTTTAATAATTGCATGTGAAGCGAGCACAATTCTTGCGATTTTTCTATTTATTATAAAGCTTGCTACTTCTAAGAAGATATCTGGCTTATTTTCATAAATAGATATTTTTGCAATGTGAGCCAGATATTTCAGCTATAGAACTGAAATCTTTATAAGCCTGATTTCTAATTAAATTTTGATTTATAACGTTTTACTAAAGGTGTTAAGCTTAAGCGATTCTTATTTTAACGCCATTTAAACGCCATTTAAACGCCATATACAAAGCTTAATGCCAAAAATTACCTTACGATTGAATAATATAAAATTTATAAACTCTCTTTAAACCTATCTATTCCACACTCTAGAAATTAAACTGTTAAAATAGTTATTTTGGGCAAACTGTTTTTTTATATCCCAAAGGTCAGAAGACATCAGCTCATGCATCTTAACCCATTAATCTTGTAGATATTTTGTCTGATAGATAAGGTAATACTCATTCAGTACTTCTTGACAGGAATGCAAGTATATATTACACTAATGGATACATTATGTCAAAGCTATTAACTTTAAGAACGATGTTATTCTTACTGTATAGCTAAATAGTCAAGTCTTCAGTTATTTTTGTGGAGAATTGATACCTTTAATGATAAGAGCTCGGTCAATGCTGCTGTGTTTTTTATTTTTATATATAAAGAAACCTTTTTTATGACTATGGATTAATTTTTAATATAAAAAAAAATCATAAAATCTACTAGCTTTAGCTGTTGTATCACAGCATTGGACAATCACAACAGAGCTAGGCCCCAAAGATCGAATTAGAATTTAGAAGTTGATTTTTGAGGAGGGAGGAAAACCGGAGAACCCGGAGAAAAACCCTCGAGTCACAGGAGAGAACCAACAAACAACTCTACTTACATACATCATCGAGATCGGAAGGACTTGAACTCGGGGCGCATTGGTGAGAGGCGGCACATTAGCAGCGCATGCCACCGGTGCTTCCCCTTGCTAAATAATGATAGATAGGTATAAATACCATCGACTGTCTCTCGTTTTCTCGCTGGACTCTGCGGATGTTATAACTAAAATGATAATGATATTTATACTTCAAGTATTATAATACAAGTACTTGTTATCATCATCACCTATGAGCTGTGTTGAATGATGTATCATGGAAAATTGATCCCTGAAATCCTTAATATAATATTTGTGAATGAGAGTTGAGGACACATGCAGTCAAGTTTACAATCGATAACCAATGCCACACCACCAAGGGAACAAAATAGGCACGATACGTTATATGTTATTCTATATGCCCATATCAGCTTTGTTTGGATCTGTGAAATTCTCAAATGTATAATGTACTAAAAAATCACTCATGATTGTAAGCTGCACGGCTGCTAGTGGCGCCTTAATAATATGCAGCCCATAAAGTCTTCCACTTCTCATAAATGTAAAGCGCATTGAGACAATGTGAAATGTGCTATACAACAACCCCATTATTATTTTTATTATTATTACTATTATTATTATTACTATTATTATTATTACTATTATTATTATTACTATTATTATTATAGTTCCAGAAATTATCCATACCCCTCATGCAGAATTACCCCCAGAAACTCCAATTTTCTTCCATACAAAGTCTGTAATTTTGTTCCTTCTCTGCCCTCCCTACCCCTCAGAATTTCCAAATCCCTCTTTGAGGAGGGGGGAGGGGGAGAAGGGGGTATGGATAATTATTTTTGGAACTACACAATATTATATTTTTTTCATTTTATTGGTCTAAAATTGATGAATTATGATGATATGATAGGTGGATGAATGGATTATTTAAGAAGGGTTATGACAGACGACTAGAACCAGATGACCTCTATGAAGTCCTAGAAGAAGACTCTAGTGAAACTGTGACTAGTAGACTTGAACAGTAAGTGACATATAACCCTCCGAGTATGACAGCTTTACTGATGTTTGCTTAGGGTTGATTGTGAGGTGGGTATGGGGATTTTATGGGGTTGGACAATATTAGTGCAATTTACCTCGAAGGGGACTCTGTGTCCCGTTGTGCAGCACCAGCCTCCGGGCAAAAAAAAAAAAAAAAAGAAAAAAAAAAAAAAAAAATAGAAAAAAAAACAAATAAAAAAAAAAAAAAAAAAAAAAGTAAATAAATAAATAAATATATATATATATATATATAAAACCAAAAAAAGACACAGGAAACCCAAGCTATGTGTTTTACCTTAGTTTGGGCTCCCTGTGTCATTATTGTCCAGAATGAATGGACTTCAGACCTCTCTCACATGGTAGCCATTTTGAATCAAACTACAGTAGAGTTTTCACTGTGTAGCTTATCACTCAAGTGCTTCAGGATGAATAAATAATGGGTATGAGAATTAACGGGGTTCCTGAACTTGATTGCCTTCATGAACTCGGGCCTTACCTTGGCTTAAAGGGAGAACCTTCACTGTCACACCACCCAACTTGATATAATTTATGTGATTGAATTTTTTTGGGTTTTTCCCTAGTTGACTCAAGGGTATTTCTTCTGGTTCTCCAGTTTTTCTTCCTTAGAAAAACCTAACAATTTAATTCAAATTCGATCTGTGAGTCGGCCATGCTCTGACTTAGATCAGCCCAGAGGTCATTTCAGTGTTCGATCTGTGAGTCAGCCATGCCCTGACTTTTATGAGCCCAGAGCTTGTTTCAGAGTTCAATGAAATTTGAAGGCTCCTTTGTTTTTCATTTCAATTTTTACTACAGGGAATGGAAAGAACAGCTGAAATGCAGAGAAAGTTTATTGAACAAACGTCCTAGTTTTGCTAAAGCTCTATTTAAGCTGATCAGATGGAAATTTATATTCATTGGATTGGTTCTTTTAATAAAAGTATGTTGAATCATTCTTTTTTTTTTTTATTAATTCTTTTCATCCATTCATTTATTTATCCACCCCATTCTATTATTTTTCCATATTGTATACCATTCTTCCTTTTTCTCTCCTTCCTTGTCTTTATCCTTCCATAAATCTATCCGTCCAGCCCATTCCATCTATCCCGTTCATTCATTCCATACATCCAATTCCATTTCTTCATCCACCTGACTATACGTCTGTCCTTCCATTCATCTCTCAATTATTCCATCTATTGATTCATCTCTGTTCATCTGCCCATCGTTCTATCCAAACCTCCAACCCTCCAACCCTCC